AGGTAAGAACAGGTATTTGTTCTTTAATGCAAAGGGGGGGTAAGTGAAGGGTCACTTTGGAGGCAGCACAAACAGTTGGGTGTTCACTCAGCCTCGGCAGGTGAAACTGCCTGGTGAGTCAGGACTTTACAAGGGGCTGATTATTCCATTTCACTTCACTGCAGGTGTGTTTAAATCCTTCATTTTTTTTTTTTCTTTTTTAAGAAGTAGAGACCTGCTGCTGATGGAAATGGGGACACCACCTCATATCCATGGATGTAAAACTATGGGAGAGGCCCCAAGGGCTGTTCTAAGCACTGTGTTGAGCAGGAAATCCAGCTGAGGACTGGGCTGGGCAAACAGCACTTTACACCTGCTACCTCCTTCTGTCCAAACATTTTCAGCTGTAAAACCAGCCCTTTGGAGAGTTTAGAGGTTCTGGGTTTCCTGAGAACTGATAATCTGAAGGAAGACTCAAACCACAAACTTCTGTCACAGTCTGTTTTCCACTGAAGTGTTTTCTCTCTCCTTCTCTTTTTAAGGGATGCATTTACTTATGTCCAAGAAAGAAGATTCTGTATTAATCCTAATGCTGGATTTGTCCATCAACTTCAGGTGACTGTTTTTTGGTTTTGGGGGTTTTTTGTGTGATAATAACTCAAAAGCCATTCAATGAATCATCTTCCTGCCAAACAGACATTTCTACTCAGCCTTCCCATTTACTAACAACTAAATGTCAGGAGCTGCAGCGGGGCTTGGCAGGAAGATGAGTGGGCACCCCAGTTCCTGAGACTGAAGCTTCAGACACAGAAAAGTCCAGGAACGAAGGAGAAACAAAAACCCTGCTTTGTGCAGTGATTTAAGAGGCTCTGAGACGTCTTTGCTGGTGGCTGAGGGAGCTGCCAAGTGAATTGTGGCAGCCTCCACTGATGCTGCTTGACAGTGGCACTCTGAGGTGAGGAGATTCACAAGTCTGGGATGGCAAATAGCAGAATCCTGGAGCTGCTTTGTCGTATTCCAAGAGTCTGGCGGGCAAACAGAGTGTTGACAAGAGATCTGCAGTGTCTCTGCTGAGGGCTGGCAGCAAGATGATTGAGCATCTCCCGGGTTTGTGTGTTCCCTAAAGCCATTTTTTTTAAGTCATCCCTGATGTTTTCTTTAGCTCTGTCTTCCTGATGGGTTTTGTCACTCGTGGCAAAGCAACAAAGGGTTCTCCTCCTCCAGAGTCTGTGCCTGATTATAAAATACTCTCCAGTCCATCCTGGTGAACTCTCTGAATTCATCCTCCTCACCCTTACAAAGCTTTATGCCAAATTAATTGGCATTGTGCATTTTTCAACTGTTTCAGGAATATGAAGCCATCTATCTAGCAAAATTAACCATCCAGATGATGTCACCACTGCAGCTGGAGAGATCCCTCTCAGTTCCACCTGGGAATACAGGTGAGAAGCCCCTCCTGTGTGTGTGAGGTGATTTTTTTTACACTCCCTAAGTAAACCTTTAGGAGCAGAATAAACTGGGATGGCTGCAGTTGGTGTGCAAGCTGTGCCCAAACTTGAATCTGCTTGAATATTCTGTTCTCCTATGACTGAACTTCCCTCTTCTCCCTTCTGCAGGAAGTTTAAAGAGGATGCACGAGGAGGATGAAGAACTTGGAACCATGCAAGTGGCAGCAGCACAGAATGGATGAGAGCTGAGGACAAGCACTGTTTGTATTACCAATTCCTGCCAAGAAAGGTGAAGAAAACCTGGGGAAAAGAAAGAAAAAAAAAAAAAAGAATTAATAATGCAAAACGATGAACACACATAGCTTCTTTTCAATTACATGTTGCTTTCAGATGTAAATCTGCCTCTGCAACACACTAAGCATCATTTTTAAGATGTTGGACTTCTTGAATGAATAGATGGCACTGATTGTTTTACTCCTTTTTTACACTTTACAGTTTTATTCTAAACCAAGATTTTTGGACTTGCAAAGAGGTATTATTGCAATAATGCACTTTTCATACTTGAAATTTCTTTATTTGTATGATATAAAGTTATTACTTTAAACAAAAATGCAAGCGGGGGGGGATTTGTTTATAAAGTTATTTGTGTAATTTATAACAAGAGACTTTAGTAAAGAAAAAGTTTGCTAAGACTCACCTTGTTCTCAGTGTGTCTCGTGGTGGGAACTGCACAATGCGCTGCTGCTGGCAGTGAGCTGAGCAGTGTTTAACCTCCTTGTACACTGAATTATTTTGAGACTGACCCTCTGGGGCCAATTGCAGGCAAAAGACTGTCCTGAAAATCTCCCTGTTTTATGCAAGTGAAAGTTGAACAGGGTACTGATGACTTAATGAAATAATCATGTGTCGGGCTAGTACAGAGGGCAGCCAGTTGGACACACATCAAGGCTGAATTCTTTCAGCCAGCACTAAAAAGCTGGTTGTTAAATGGGTTATGGGTTAATTCGAGTTGAACAAACGTCTTCAAACTCGTACTGAAGGAGTAGTTGCTGTTATAAGTCAACAGTTGCATTATTTGACGTAAAAATTGGGGTGGTGTTTGAAAACTGAGGCCCAAAGCGCTGCCCAAAATTGGGACCAAGACTTCAAGGATTCACCTCAGCTCTGGTAAAACACTGGAGTCAACTAAGGAAGCGCTTGTTGGTGCTTTGAAGTTTCCAAATTGGGAATTGTCAGGGTGGTTTGTGCAGCTTTAACTCCTCTCCTGCCCCAGCAGCACAGAGGTTGTGCAAGTCCCAGTTCTGCATCTGCTTCATTTCCCAATGGTTGTTGCATAAAAGCTGGGAATGGACTGATGGGTCCTTGGGAGCGCTGTGGGCGCTGAGCATTTCACAAAGCTGTTAGAAAAACCTGTGGATTTGGGAAATCTGAGCTTGTACCTGGACTGTGTTTTAACGTGGAGCAGGTGGGCTCAAGATTTGGGAATCAGGGCATCCCCCTGCACTTGGATATGGCTGTGTGGGGATGGGAATGTCCTCTGCCACCTCAGGATGGACAACCTGTGCTGGGGGCGATTCCCTGAGGGCACAGATCTGTGGGTTTGAAGGCAGGAATTAAACAGTGCAGTTGTTCAGTACTATGAGGGTCTCTTTTCCCTGGCCTTGCAGCTCCTGGGAAGGCCTGCTGAGGGCTGGTCCCTCTGGAGCACGTGGAGCTTTTGGCCTCTGTCAGGATTGTTAAACCTGGTCTGAAAATCCAGGCCTGGATTGGAGCTGCTCTGGGACGGATGTGGGTGACACCTGAGGAGGAAACATCCCACAGTGAGTTGAGTCAGGGCTGTTTAGGGGTGAGGCTTTCCAGCCTAATAACTCCTGTCCAATGGAATGTGAAGGCCTTGGAGTGCTCAACCAGTGATCAGCAGGAACAGGAAAGTGCTGCTGAGATCCTCTGCCACCTCCAGCAGTGATGGAGCAGCATAAATTCTTCAGAAATAAAATAATAATAATAATAAAAAAGCTGGAATAAAAAGTCTGATGCTGGAGTTAGGAAATTTTCAGCTGGAAAAAAGGAAGTGACTTCCCTGCTGGAGAACTGCAGTGTGTCAGTGTTCAGCCCACAGGCTCAGCGTGCAGGGCTGGTTCTGCAGTGGTGGAGGGTTTGTTAGGTCCTACGAAGTGACTCTCCATGAAGGAATTCTTCTGGAGCTGTTGGGAAACACATTCCCGGCCGTTCCACCACGAGGCTCCCACATGGCTGGCAGTGTCTGAGCTGCTGCTGAGACAGGGGTGGGAACCAGCACATCCCTTGCTATTTTGGGTCCCTGGGGAAGGGGAGGGATGAAACACAGATGGAAGGCACTGATTCATCTCACTGGGCTCATCCCGGTGCAGTCTGGGGCCGTTATCCCTGGGGTCCTGGGGAGACTCTGTCACTACTCCATGACTAAGGATTTTCCACCAATCCAGGTTTTTTTTTTCCATGCTGTCACCACATCCTGATGCCTTTTACAGTCATTCTGATCTGTCTGCCTGTCACATCCTAAGGGATTCAGAGATTAATTTCCCTCATATCTATTATTAAGCCTTTTATTTAAAACTTCCTGATGTCTGTCTCCTGTAGCTGAGCTGCCAGGAGCTATTCCAGTGTTTGCTTCTGGGGGCTCAGCTCAAGGTGGGAATTGGCAGGAGGGTCCCCTCAGTGTGGATTTAAAAGAGTGGTAGAGAGCGAATCATTATTTTTTATTTCCCCTTCCCCAGGTTCAGACACAAAACTGCAGCACCCAAGTCTTTGGAGACTCAAAGCTCTACATTATATACTGTGTATAGATATAAATATATATATAGAGAGAGATTAGATAAATGCAGTTAAATTAATGGGATTCAGCAAAATATTTCCATGCCCCCTGTGGCTGTTAAATGCTGTAATTTGTGGCATTTTCCCCCTTCCTGTGACAAACACACACCTGTGACTGGTGGTGTTCCAGGGACTCACCTGACCCCACCGTGGCCCCTCTAAGTCCCCATCCCAGGCAGCCTCTGCTCTCCAGCTGCTGTTTCCAGAGGGGTGGGAATGTCACCTCTGGGGCAGAACAAAGAGCTCTTCAAAGCTCCGGGGCTGCTGCTGAGCCGGGCTGTGCCCGCAGAGGCTTTGTCATGCAGCCACAAACCCCAGCTTTCAACCCAATCCATTTGTTTTACAATGATCTGAGCCAGGGCCACAAGCACCTGCTCCTCACTCCCACTAATCTTCTCATTAACTCTTAATGAGGGCCCGGAGCTGTTTAGATGGTGTAGATATCATGGAATTCAACTAATCCACTTGAAAGTAGTGGAAGTTCAGAATTAATTAAAAATGTGAAAGGCAAGGAAATCCACCTCAGTCACTTGGGCACGAAGCAGGAGCTGCATTGTACAATTAGTTCAGAGTCAGATGTTTGTCCATGGAAAACAGCTGGGAAGAGTCCTGGAGAGAAATCCATGTGGAATCTCAAAAAGGGTTCTTTTCAGTCTAGGGAAAGGGGAACAGGTACACACTCACTCTAGGGACCTACCACCCTACGAGAAACAGTCCAGGTACGGTTGGCAGTTTTCATTTATTCAGCTTAAACAAAGATATCTTTTAAAAAAATAATCAATAAATAAACCAGACATCACCAAGGAGACACTGTATCGAGTGGAGAACCCTCAGGGACATCAAGCAGAGCCCCCAGCACTCTGTAGGGCCGCTCTCCACAGCACAATGGAGGACACTGTGCACGGCCCACAAACAACACGGGCTGTTCCCTACGAGCCCCGGGGGTTTATAATGCCCTATTCATGGATGTGGGATTTGTCACTCTCCACACAAAACACCACTGTTGAATCCAGGGCTTTGTACCTTGTTTGCCACCGCTGGCAAAAAGTGCTAAAATCATTTATCCAATCTTACAGCAAGAGGGAAGCTCCAAAGCAGCAACAAATTCCCTGGGAACAGGATGCTGGAGGTATAAATCCGTACCGGCAAAAGCAGAGCCCACCCGGCCGCCCGGAGTTCCAGGACAGGGACTGTCCCACAAGACTGGGCCAGGTGTGTTCACAGAATCACAGGATGATTTGGGTTCAAAGGGATCTTAAAAACCATCTTATCCCACTCCTTGCCACGGACAGGGACACCTTCCACTATCCAACCTGGCCTTGGACACTTCCAGGGATCCAGGGGCAGCCACAGCTTCTCTGGGCAACCTGTGCCAGGACCTGCCCACAGTCAGGAATTTCTTCCCAATATCCCATCTAACCCTGCCCTCTGGTAGTGGGAAGCCATTTCCCCTTGTCCTGGCACTCCAGGTCCTTGTCCAAAGTCCCTCTCCAGCTCTCCTGGAGCCCCTTTAGGTGCTGGCACCTCCAGCTCTCTCAGGTGAAGCTGAATCTGCCAATCCCAATCCCTTTCCCATTGATTACTAGCCAGAATCCACTATAGATGGAGTATATTCCATCAGACATTCCAGCTTCCCAGTTCCCTCTGCCCTGTCACAAACCACATTTGGGGTTTTTTTGTGTCAGAAAACAACTAATTATCCTGAAAACCAAGTTATCAGCTAAAGTGCAGGAGCCCTGCAGTGAGAAGCTCACATCCATCTTCAGACTGGGAATCCAGCACAGCCCATAAGGATTCTCCCCTACCCACACAGACAGTAACAAACCCAGCCTTGGAAAATAGTGCCTATAAAACTTCCAACAGCACTTCCATGAGGTGTCATGGAAAGAACAGAACAAAGGCCTGTTCTGTGTCAGTAATTCTGCATAAGAGAAGCCTCATCCCTTCCCCAGCTCCGCCATCCTTCCACCAGCACAGGCAGCAGGACAATCCCACGGGCTGTCCTTTGGCTGCCGAGAAAAGAAGCACAAACCTTTAGAAAAATACAATGCAAGAAAAAATTTGAGATAAAAATATATACCTTTGGTTAAAAACCATCCCTTTAACGAGGCCTTTGTAACTCAGCTAGAACAGAAAAGCTTCACCTCGACTCAACAGTAGTAAAAATTAGTTCTAAGCTTTTTTTTTTTTCCTAACCCAGAGGACCCTTCTAAAACCTCATTAATTTGTTTTCCCCGGGATTTACACATTTGATGTTCATTATTTATAGGGATCATTATATTTGCAGCAATAAACTATGTAAGTTTTCCACGAAGAGGATGTTTGGAGCACAAGCTCCTCCACCAACAGTCTTTTTTACCACCTGGAAGTTGTTAATTAAAGAACCGTTGAAACATGTAGTTTTCCTCAGATACCAAATAGCCAAACTTCTTGTAGAAATCCACGTTTTTGGGCAGACATTCCAGCGTGATTTTGTAACAGTTCAGTCTCTTACTTAGCAAGGTGAGGGTGGATATTAATCTGGGAAAGACAGAAAACCAACAGTTAAATGTTGGGTCAGCGAGCATGTAATTAGTTAAATTATCACAGTGACAACACTGAGGTCTGAGAGCACTGACAGAACTCCCTGCGTTTTCCCGTGGATCATTTTATTCCCAGCTGGCTGAACTCTTCCCAGGTCCCTGGCAGGGCGGATCTGCCCTGCAGGAAGCTGTAAGTGCTCGGTGCCCACCTGCTGCTGAATGGAAAAGGTGGGGAAATACTCACAGTTTTCCAAGCTGCTTCCCCCTGCACTCCCCGCTGACCACCACGTCCTCTATCCTCCCTCTCTGTGGAAACACAGCCAAGGGTTAGGATTGGAATTCCCCTTCCAGCTTCCCACCACGGGATCCAGGAGTGGATCTCCAGCTCCCTGTTTTCACAGTCTGGCTGGGATTCCCAGCAGGGAGATCCTTGTGCACCTGCTCCATCAGAGCCACGTCTGACTCGTGCAGAAGCTCCACTTTATTTTGGGGAAGGGAGAACGGGACAGACCTCCAAATGTAGTTTTCCCTTAGGAAAAGCCCAAGTTTGCTTTTATTATTAGCTGAGCACCCAAATGAGAGATGTTTTTAAAATACTTGATGTCTTTAAATATATATTTTAAAATATTTACATTTTTAGTGTTGGAAAAGCCCTCTAAGAGCACGAGTGCAACCATTCCCCCAGCACTGCCAAGGCCACCACTGACCCATGTCCCCAAGTGCCACATCCACAGTGGCTTTGAAATCCCTCCAGGGATGGGGACTCCACCACTGCCCTGGGCAGCTGTGCCAGGGCTGGACAACCCTCTCCGTGAGGAAAGTTTTCCTGATATCCGACCTAAACCATCCCTGGCACGACTTAAGGCCGTCACCACATCATAATGCCATAAAAACACCATGCCCAGAGTCAGGGATGGGATCTTTTCCTCCCTTCACAGCTGCAGTGACAGGATTTACCTTGGCACAGGAGTGAGTGAATTTATGTTCTATAACCAGCGTTGCTGTAGCAACGATCTGTCCAAGGTTTGTGTCCTCCACGACGGTAACAAAATAATCTCCCGATCTCTTCATGTGCTCGAAGGTTTCTGTGGGAGTAGAGGGGGGAACAGTCAATTTAGTCTCAGATTAAACTGCAGGGAAGTCTGACACTTGCAGCACATTCTGACTGCAGATTACTGTGGGATCACAAGGAAGATGCACCCAAGACCCCAGAGCCTGAAAGCCCAGGAGTCAGACTAAACCAAGAAAAAGCAGAAATTAAAGTCAATTCCTTTTCCTCAGCTGCCCAGATGTCCTTCCTTCCTTCCCCAGTGTCTCTGGGCTCAAACAGAATTCCAGTCTGGCTTGTGTTGGAAGGGACTTAAAGGCCATCTCGTTCAACCCCTGCCATGGGCAGGGACACCTCCCACTAGCCCAGGTTGCTCCAAGTCCTGTCCAACCTGGCCTTGGACACTTCCAGGGATCCAGGGGCAGCCACAGCTTCTCTGGGCAACCTGTGCCAGGGCCTCCCCACTTTCACAGGGAGGAATTTCTTCATGGAAAGGGTTGTCCAGCCCTGGCACAGCTGCCCAGGGCAGTGGTGGAGCCACCATCCCTGGAGGGATTTAAAAGTCACATGGATGTGGTACTTGGGGACACAGTTTAATGGTGGGCTTGGCCTAGATCCTGTGATTCCCTGCATCCCTGGCTTCTTCCCCAGTGCCTGCCCCAGCCAAGGAGTGGGATCTAAAAGGGACCTGAAGTGGGCCCCAAGAGAGCTGGAGAGGGACTTTGGACAAGGGCCTGGAGTGACAGGACAAAGGGGAATGGTTTCCCACTGCCAGAGGGCAGGGTTAGATGGGATACTGGGGAGAAATTCCTGAGTATGAGGGTGGGCAGGCCCTGGCACAGGTTGCCCAGAGAAGCTGTGGCTGCCCTTGGATCCCTGGAAGTGTCCAAGGCCAGGCTGGACGGGGCTTGGAGCAACCCAAAATCAGCCCAAACAACCCATCCTACCTTCTGCCAGGTGTCTAAAGCTCAGTCTCAAAAGCAGGTTCACAGTTTAGGCCTGTCCCAGCCAAGCAGCCCTCAGAGATCGCTGCAGCTGGATCCAAGGCTGAGTGCCAAAGGCTGCCTCAGGGGAGCTGAGCTCATCACTCCCCCTGGCATCAGGCAGTCAAAGCCTCACTCCCAGGCAGCTCTGCTGGCAGCATCAGTATCCTCAGGTTCCCAAAAACCTCTATGGAAATGCCAAGGAATAATGACACACTCACTGATAAACTGCTCCGGGCTCGTAACTCCGGTTTCCGTCAGCTGACCCAGAACCTTGAAAAAGCCTGGTGGAAAAGAGGGAGGAACAAACAACCCTCAGGAAGGGACAGACACACACAGTTAGCTCTAAATGGCACCCAACAGCCTGTTTGGAGAGTTACCATTCCATCCAACTCCCACCCTGGGCAATGCTGAAGGACCAGCTGAAGCATCAGAGCAAAGTGCAGAAGGTGCAAGAAAAGGATAACCCTGGAATTATGTGACATTCAGCTGCATGTCCAAAAACAACTTTTTTATCCAAACCGCAGAACTGAAGGAGAATTCAGGCACCAAGATGCCAGTTCATGTTGCTCTGGTATTAAAGGGAACAGTATGAACAATTGTGCTCCCTCTCTAAAGCTGTGGGGAATAGGAAGCTGTGGAATATTCAATTTAAATTTAAGATTAAAACAGTAAACCCAGTTTTCAGGGTTACCCCACACAGCACCAACCCACAGTGCCAAGTGCTCAGATTCAGGGCAGTGTTCATGGCCCTAAACCTGCCAGAACTCCAGGAGCATTTGGACAAGGCTCTCAAGGCACATGGTGGGAATGCTGGGGTGTTGTGTAGAGAGCCAGGAGTTGGACTCAGTCAGGATGTCCGTGACCCCATGAAATTGCTTACTGAGAAAAATATCCCAAATCAGGGGGAACAAGCGATCCCGACCTACAGAGAGCCTATGCCCAAACACACATTGCTGACTCAGCGATGATCACACAGGATGATCAAACCTCGGTTTAAATCAGCCGTGCAAAGCGGCCTCAGAACCAGCCCATCCCCGGGATCCAGCGGAGAAATGGCGGGAGAGAACGTCGTGGTGTTCTCGCTCCAGTCCAGCTCGTGCAGGATCCTCGGGTCAAACATGGGCGTGTCGTCGGGCATCACGGTGGCCACGGGCATCATGGCTGCGCCACGGGATCTGCAACGGAACAGGGGAGGAACGCTCGGGTTTGCTGTCAGCACCAAGTCAGGTGTTTCCCGCGGTCGAGGCACGCCCTGGGACGCTCCTCGAGGATGTAAGGATGTAAGGCCTCAACCTTCACCCGAGGAGGTCGCTGGGCAAACGCAGAGTGCGCAGACACCGCGCACGTCACCGAGTCAACACACGGTGCTTTGGTGTTTATCTTGGGAAAACAACCTGATAAAACAACCTGCACCAAGCAGGATATTTAAACTCTGCAGCCCTCTGAACAAGGAAGGCATCACTCCCCAGAAGCCTCCCAACATCCTCTTTAAAGATCACCTGCATTCCGGTTCACCGGCAGCAGGAATAACGCACTTTTTTCCAACCCATAAATATTTAATGTCTCGGGCACGAGGCACCACAACCCAGAGCTGAGAACGCAGGTGATGCCACAGCTCCAGCCCAAACTGCCCCTCCCGGGCTTGTCCTGTTTGCTCCAGGTGTTTACAGAGCCCAGCTGCTGAGCAGTGTCCCTGAACAGGGAAAACACAAGTGCCAAGGCGATGGTGACACCTGTTAATG